AATATTAGATATTATTTCTTTCTTCTTTTGTCCTATTTGCATAATGCTTTTGATTTAAACGGAAATATAGAATTTTTCTATACCATCTTTATTTATGGTTCTTAATACTTCTCATAAAGTTGGTAAGTTCTATTTAGAAACATCACTCATTCTTACTAAATCATCTCTGATAATTTTATAAATTTTATAAACTTAATTATCAAAGCTAGGAGCATATTCCCAGCATGGTCGCCAAATGAACACCTAGAGTCTTGCACCTTAAGAATCTCAAGTATCCCTTTTATATTTCTATAAAGGAATTATCCCTGTACTTATTTTAATTCTCCATAGTTCTTGGTTTTATTATAATCAAACAATTCAACCTTAAAACCATCTTCAATTTATATGCTAATATTATCTCATCTTCTTTAACCTATTCTTCACACATCTATACCTTCATTATCTTCATCTTTGTCTTTGTCTTCTTCAACCTCATCTTTATAAATCTATATCTTCATCAATTTCATTTTGTCTATATCTTTCTTTTCTTTTTTTATATTAGTCTATTTCCTTCATATTTTTCTACAATACATCTCTTTAATAAAATAATATCTTTATTAATTGTAATTTGTAACATTAACATTATGCTACTCTTATAATAAGATACTCTCATAAGAAATTCTAATAACTTTTCTTTCTTGATTTACCAACCTCTTATAAGTACATTTTTTCATTTTCTTCACACCATGTTTTATACTCACTCTAAGCATAAAATAAAAAACACTAACACACATGGCCTCTGCCTCCTATATTGATTCTTTGAACTAAGTTCAACATAAGGAAAACTAGTCTTTAGATCAAAACTGCTATGATTTCATATTAATACTTCATTGTAGTTTGTCAAGGTAAGAGATAAATTTAGCTAGCAAAGCCATGAGTATATACACAGACAATGAATGCACTCAGCTACCATCCTTCATTAAGTGTAGTAACCCTAATTAGATAAGCATACACCTAGTATGTTTAGACTTAATGGATACATGTATTTTATACTAACATACAAGAAGTCAAAGAAGAAAACGGAGGAGAACAGGACTTGGGGAAAACTCAGTTCCTACTTATCAGCCTGCAACTCATCTGCCTTCTATCACCACAGAAGTTCCTCAATCCGTCTTGAGTCAGTCTTGTGGAGATGTCATTTGAGCGGCCAACCTTGGGAAGGCCTCTAAAGGAGCTTCCCGAGTTATTTTTCAGAAAGTAAAAGAGCAATGTAGGTTGTGCATGAGCATTTGCTCTACACCTTTGAAAGCTATTGGAAAAGGAAGATAATGGAAAGAAGAATGACAATGAACAATGGTTCAAGTCTCAATGTGAACCTGGCAAGACAGCTGAAGCTAGGGAGAAAAAGTTAGAGATTATGAGAAGGGCTTTTAGGGTAGAGGTTGTCGATCTGACTGGTATCTCCACATTGTTCGGATCAACATCAGGTGTAGTTGCCCGATTTGTTGTGGACTACGGAAAAACCCGGCTAGGTTGTTCTGTTCATTCACTCGAGCAGCTTTGGCCACACACACCGGTATGACCTTACCTCGGTAACAATGCTACTGCAAACAAAAGGTTTCTCCAAGCTGGAAGAAAGTAATGGAGTGCAAGTAGGAAGATGAGAATGGTTACTCTCATACCAGTTTTTATGACTAGTACTCATTGCTTTGTAAATTCACTTGCTGCTTTACAAAAATCTCATGTTTCGTTGAGACATTTCCTCTTTAGTTTGCGACAAGGTTTTTCCCATTTGCACATTAGAAACCTTGTGCACATCCAAGTAATAACATTGTGTGCTTGTTCAGGTTTTTGGAGAATTTCATCAATTATGAAGAAGTGGAGCTCCTGTTGGATGCTATTCTGGTTATTCCTGGTCCTTTTCATGCGCTTGCTGTAGGTATTCACGTACCAAGGATGGCTGTTCCAGGTTCTGGCCCGAGTCATCCTCCATTATCACCAAGCCCAGCCTCAGCCGCAGCTGCGAGGCATGGAGTAAGTTTTTCAGGGCCAATGATAAACCCTCACGGTCCCTCTGGTGCTGCATTGAGTCCTGCAGCAAGGCAAGTGGCAAGTACTCTCATCTAATGCTATTGTGAACTTTACGAGCAGTAACAGAGTTCCAGTCGTTCCTCAAGGAGCCATACTTTCAATTCACTAGAGATCAATGAATCTGGTAAGTCTCCATCATCAACTCTCAGTTGTAATACTAGCTCGACTTCGTCAGATGTCTCCTGGTTTCTAGACTCAGGAGCCACAGCATGTCACTGGAAACTCAGACATTATAATCAATCTACGTCCCAACAACTCCGCCCTCATGATTGCTGCGGGAGGAGAGTCACTCAGCATATCTGGCAAGGTAGCGCTTTTGTTTGATTTCCAAAGGATGTTCTGTACGTACCTAGCATAAGACGTAATCTTCTTTCAGTTGGATGCATAGCAGATAATGGCTTTCACGTTGAATTTATGAAAACAGTCTGCATCACAAGGAAAGCCAACTCCCAAATTATACTTGGTAAAGAATATAGAATGGCCACACAAGGATTATATAGACTAGATGCTCACAGCATTATTCAGCCTGAAGTCTACACATCGGAACAGATGCATCAGATAGATCAATCTATTCTATGGCATAGACGTCTCGGTCACTTAAACTTCCACTCATTGCACGAACTCTCAATATCAGGAGCAGTATCAGGACTACCGAAACTGGCTGAGGTCAGCACCGTGTATGACATCTGTCAACTAGGAAAACAAGCGAGAAAAAAATTTCATCACAGCACTTCGATCTCTACTACACCCCTTCAATTTGTTCACAGCGATGTATGTGGACCATTTTGACACCCAGCATACAATGGGACACGATATTTTCTGACATTTATCGATGACTATAGTTGGTGACCAAGTATGGCTGCAGCTAGTTCCGCCTCCAAGGAAAGGAGGCAATATTTGTGGAGGCATTTTACCCTGCCCCCAATTTCGCACCTTTGTTGTGGAACATGTGGTCGTGGTTATGAACAGTGCAGATATCGTTGGTGTAGGAACCGCTGGGTCTAACTCCCCTAATGCAGGGGGCAAAATTGACACTCGTCAAGTGGGATCTGTAGTTAACCGTCAAGGCTACAACGCCAGAACCCCTATTCAAGGAAGCTCAGCAATTCTGCAAGCATGGGAAGTGCCATTTTCAATCGAGTGGAGTGAACCCAACTGATGTTGGGATGGGTAACGATGGGGGTTGTGGAGGTGTATGGGTACCACTGGCAGCACCAGAGAAGGTTTTTCGAAGCATGTTTCGCTACCTAAGCGGATATGGTTGTTCGCACAGTTACCAACCATTCTGAAAGAGGTGCTAGCTTCCTCCCTGAATCAGAATGAGGGTGCGCTGCTTAATTTATGATTCAGAGCAAACAGCCTTACGGTTTTATATCAGGAAATGTTTACTCAGTTTCGAGCAAATTTCCGAGATGAGAGTTATGCATGAAAAATGCAGCAGGATTCGAAGACTCATAGCACCAGCAAATCAACATTCCCTCTCACGAATACTATGGGAATTTACAGTCTTCCTTGTAGTGCAGTGTCTATGTATTTTCCTCACTTTCAAAGTATTATTATTGACTAGTTATTAGTACCATGAAGCATGTCAGCGTTCTCTATTAAAAAAATATATCTATATTTTAATGAGAGAGTTTACTAGCAGCTCTAACACATATTTTATCTGCTGCAGAAATGCAAGATATTGGTGATATTATTGCACAGAGGGTAGCCTCAGAACCCTACGATGCATCTCGCTTAGCTTTTTTTGTGACCATGCTGACCCTCCCTGTAGCAGTCCTTCGGAAATTCCTACCTCTCATCCGAATTTTTGACAAAGGATATTAATACCAGATTATGTTCCTCCAGCTCTATGATCGTAAGTGTACTGACGTTGGCCAACTGTTGAGACTACTCTTCAAAAATTAATGAAGAAATTATCGTCGGGTAACAATTATCTTAAGCACAACCCTTCCATGATTTCCGCATTTTTTGAGACTTCTAATATCGTCCTTGTCCAGGTTCTGTGATGGTAACTGGAGGCACTGTTGATGATCAAGGTGCCTCCCCTCGTCTACATGTGGAGCTCAGCCATGAATTCCAAGCTAGAAATGTTTGAGTCGAACTAGTGACGGGCACAGAGATGAATTGAGTGCTGCTGGGACCTCTCATTGTAAAAGCAACAATGTACATAACCATCATCGAGACACCGTTGTATTCACCCTCACGTTCTCCATCGACGCCTCCTCGCTACCGTACTTAAATGTGGCTGGCGGAGCGGGGTGGTTGCCTCCAGCAGTTGCGATTTACATACCTCTACGGAGATCAGACCTGACGAATCATATTGTCAAGTATGCATGGAAGCCTCGCGGGGCGCTGTAGAAATTTCATTATTATATTATATAAATGATTAACATGTGTCCTTATACAAGGAAGGTGACGCTCTTTCAGAAGAGTCTCAACCCTAGAATGTATAACTACACAATTCTATCAAAGGACACAGTCAGTGTAATACTAGTGTGCTATACTGATACTTATAAATGTATCCAACAGGCGCTCTTGAGGTCCCGACCTGAGAATTGGGAGAGATGCAAAGAAAGTGTGACCCGGGCCGTCCAGGTTCCGCTGGGGCAGGGCTAAGGACGTTTTATAATCTTAGCTGAGCAAGTTCTTATGGCACTGACGCAGTGTGGTAAAGGAGCTCTCCAACAGCACCATGTTCTTCTCTAAGTCCCTCATCTTTACGGTGCTCCTAACTCAGATTGAGCACTTTGTTGTTCAAGATCATGGTTTCATCCTGGGAAAGCATGGACATTTCAGGGTTTCTCGCAGCTCTAATTAAAGACAAGTGTTGATTGATCACCAAACAATTAGTAGAGGGCTAGCTAGCGACACAGGAAGGCTGTGACATAATGGCCTTAGTGCATTACTTCCTCCCCTCATGCTCTTGATTTCACAGTAATATTCCATTTGCTCCGATATTAAGTTACCACGGTTTAGGGTAAAAGCTACCATCAGCTCCATGTGCTTCATAGACATTCATTTCGTGCTTACTAGCAAGCCTGCCTCTTATAATGGAGTAAATACACTCACTGACATGCTTGTGCTCCCCAATTTTTAAAGAAGATATTTACTTAGTCTAGTCGTATCAAGAGTCATTAGGGTACTCTTCTAATGCAAAGCTACAGTAGACTTCACTGCTCATCCAGAATATTTCTCTAGGCGCCACATGAAGTTGATCGATCAGCTCTGAAGAGCAATATGATGATTGAACACCACAAGTAATTAAGACCATTTCTACACAAGGTACAAGATGAAAGCGGTCTGCAACCTACATGTCTTCAATTTGGCGCCGCTTGTCATGCTTATGTACAGGATTACCATTTCTTCATTAAATCAGAGAGCCCGAACACTGAATTTCCATCACGACAGCATTCTATGCTTCAATTTGGCTGCAAAAAATGAAGCATCACATCAGTGACTCAACCCCGATGCAACTGCAAATGTGAGCATAATCTTAATCCACGAAGGGTCATTGTGCAAATAAACCATCTAAGGGATGATAAGAAAGTAGGATGAAAGTTTTACATTTGAGAATTGAAAAGTTGTGGGAACCCGTTTCTCGTGGTACATCAGCTTTGTGCCAATCACTGATCTGCGAGCTGGTTGTCGGAAGAGGACGCGCTTCAGAGTCTTGCAAATGGATAACTGTTGATTCATCCAACAATGCGCAAGCAATAAGATTAGCATTGAAAATGGAGCTGATTCAGCGATGTTAACGGAAGAATTTAGGATGAGCTCAGACAACAGAGTTGTGAGCTCATCGAAAACGAATGAAATCCGAAAGAGCAATAGTTTGTGAACTCACGATGAATTGAACACGTCGGTGTGGTTTTGGACTCGACCATGAAGACAATGGCAGGGCGCGAGACGACTTGTGCCGCCTGGACACAAGATTCACAGTCGGAGACAGCATCTCTAGAGTTGCTGCATACGCTGGAGGAGGACAATACTCCTCTCGGTGGCTGGAGGTCCAGCACTTATCCAACTGAGTGGGAGATACAATATTCATGTACATTCTGGAGTTGCTATAATCCCTTCCGCGAGAATTTGCTTCCAGCTTTCCGACTAAGTTGCGAGTGTGTCGTGTTGCTAACTCCTGCTCTTCAACACTTGGCATTCTATATGGCAGCCTGGTGGGCCGTTTCGGAGAGGCTTCAGGACTTGTGTCGTAAGTGTCAAATGTACAATCTTGCAAGGGTATAGGTTCCCCGTTTGAGTTGAGGTATCCGCTTGAAGTGGGCGCACCCTGCTTGTCGAGAAGGCCGTTCGATATCGCCGCCTCGGTCACGTCCAGGCGCTGGAAGTACGTTGCTAGTGTGGGGGCCCAAACCTCGGGACTGTAGAGAGAACCTAGCCTCTTCCGGTTGGATTTCGATTTTCTGAGGCATTTTCCATGGGATTTGCAGAGCTTGAGCAGGCTCTTGACGCACTCCGATCTGTGGGCATTGGATCTTTTTCCTTGGAAGGTCACCTTTGCAGAAGGACCAAAGTTCGGAACTATAGGCGATTCTGAATAGCCCATAGAGGTTTGAGAGTCAAACGAGTGGGACTTAGTTATATATGAAGGGCTTACAGTATTATCGTGATCGTGGTCGGGGGCGAAGTCCTCTTCAATTGATTCATACGATGCGCTGGAGCTCGATTTGGAGCCAGCCATGCTAGGCGTAGACGCGCCAAAATCACAGCTTAAATATGTGCGAGACGATGAGGACTGGCGACCGCTGTGGAGAATGCTGGTAGGATCCGAACAGGAATGGCTAGAACCAGATCGATGCATCCATGGATGAGAGGCCTTGAGCTCGGAGCTCAAGAGCTTGCGAGGCTTAAGGTTAAGAGGCGAGTCAGTGGATGTCAATGGCTGCGATAATGGCTTGTTGATCTTTCGCGGATTGACGCTTCGATCGCTGGATTTAGAAGAAACGGACTCCTGGTTGCCGGCGTACGCATAGCCATGGTGAGCCTGCGATTGCTTCGGCAGCGAGCTCTTGGTGGCGCGGTACTGATGCATCCATGTGGGATCCTGCTGCTGCAATCGAGATGGTGAGGAAGTGGCCGTCATGCAAGGAAACAATCCTCCGAGAGAGTGAGAAGCGACTGAAACGCGAAGCTCCCTGGCGAAATTGGACTTGGTGGTGCGATGCATGTGGACAGCCAGACGCGGAGGAAGTTGTAAGGTTTCTGGCTTACTTTTGCCTGCTGTCTCATCCACCTTGGCCTTGCCCGGAGTGTCTTCCCACTTGAATGGGACTGCAACAGAAGGCGGCGAAGCATTGTGATGATTGGCGCTAGTATACAATGACGACTCCGATGTCTCTATTAAAAACTTTGCCGCAGAAGGAGCAACGAGATCGATGTGCGCCTCTTTCTCATAGATGCTGCATCGCGTGCTGGAGATTCGCCAAATTCTAGAATCGCCTGAATTTCTTTGGACATGGCCAGCTCTACCGTGAAATCTCTCGCTGGCAGTTACTCTGTGTGATGATGAATGCGCAACTTTGTGGGGGTGGTCATTGGTTGATACCTCCCCTTCTCTTGCAGATGTTCGTTGAGAACTTGATATCGGCGACTTGTCTTCCACAAAGCAGTTGAGCTCGATTCCATCTCTTGATAACTTCCGGGCCAACGCTCGCTGCGCTGCTGCTGCAATGCTTTTCGGTTTGTCAAGCTGCTCATCCCACTTACAGGGGACGGAAGCAGCTAGATCGTGATGTTTACGTCCATCTACGTGATCATGTGGTGGAGTCTGGAGTGGTCCTTGCTCGACATTCTTTGGGTTAGATGGTGTCGACAGAAGCTCACGAATAGTGCTTTTAGGTTTCACATCGCTGTCTAGGAACCTACATTGCGCAGTCTGTATTTTTTCAACCTCCCTTTCAGACTCTTGAAGCACCGAAGCACGGCAAGCCTTCCTTGAGCTGGACTCCTGATGATATTCTTTTCCCTGCGAACTTGAATCTTTGAGATTCTCGTGCATTTTCTTGTGCTTGAACGCAGCCTCGGTCGCTGGGATTGTTCTGTCTCCATGACGAAAGCTACAGCTTCCTGAATTTCTCTTGTTTGCGTAGTGTTTCTCAAGTTGCCTACAAGGTTTCAGAAATGCAAATTGAGATTGTCTAGCAATAAGTTCGTCAACTCGCTGTGCAAGCACGTCGAAATTGCTATCCTCGTCTTGTGCTGACAAGTGCTCCTCGCTGCGATGTTCCTCAAGAGAATTTAGCGCTTTGTTCTCCACATCGCAATGTCCTTCTACTGAAACTCCGCACCGGAAGCCGCTCAACCAGCTCGATTGCTGACCATGGTGAACGACCGGCCAACCTGCATCGATTTGTCCTGTGCCATGGCTTACATAAACGTCTCCCTTTTCTTGAGGTCGCAGAGGGGCCTCATTGCTAATAATATGCGATCTCATGGCTTCCAATTCTCAGTTACTATCATCAGTCCGCAAATTACCTGGCGACGAACTACCTTCATCAACTGCCGCAACTACTGATCCCAGCTCACTTCCTTATCAACGCCATCCCGCTGTGCTCTCTTACGTTCAACTAACCCCCCAGCAGAATGCTCCGGAATAGAGAGCTATCGAACTCACGCGCAACAGTAGCAAAACGCAACGCCATAGCCGGTATTGCCAGGAGCTAGCGCAATATCGCATCCATGACATAGATTTTCAGGAGTTGGTGCTGGTTCAGAGTGCGGATTATGAAGGTGTGCTGCCAGTGTAACTAAATCAGGATCGTTCACGGTGCACAAAACAATCACAAACGGCCGCTGTAAAGCTACGTCGCAACTTGATTCCAACGCTCTCATCCTCGAACTCAATTGAGACAGAATCATTCAACCAGGCTAGCGCAGCATGAACTCCAAATCATTCAACTCCCGCAAGCGTTGAGATTTCTTCAGCTGTAGGCTCACAACACAATCATCAAGACGCTCCTCGTCAAGTGAATGATGCCACTGAATAATAGGTACTCTCACACGTGAGAGCATTTCCGTCGTGCACCACAGCAAGAAGCCAAGTACGGAACTTACCCGCTACAATCAAAACTCTCATAACCTTAAGCTTCATTCTACTCTTCTAACTCCGCAAAAAGAATGCGTTGGCAATCAGATGAGCTATTTCTGCTCGCTAACATGACGATACCCTACGCTAACGAGAGGCATCCCAGCTATCAAGCTGACTAGGCTACTTGATGTGTGCTTAATGAAACAATCCGGCATCGCAAGCTATGAAACTGTAATGATATCTCATGTGCTTGGACTGTTCGGCAGCTAAAAACTCGAGCAGCGTCTGATAATCTAAGTGGCGAAAAACAGAATGAAGAGGTAGATCTCCTATCGGTTTCTATGTGTAGTTCTCCTCAATCATCCAAGCCAAGGGCACACTAATCAAGAGACATAGACAGAGGAATCTCCTGGTCTTCTACAGGTTATAAGCCTAACACGATCTAGTTAACTATCGGAGTGACAAATTAACGCACTGCGCATCACCTGGTCAAAAGTAGGATTATGGAGGATACGTTTGTTTTGTAGCTGTAGGGGGGGTACTGGTTGTCGTCATGCAGTCGCAGTTGGAGCTAGTATCAACCAACCCGCCAACGGAACGCTCGAGCCACAAGACCGATGGACGAGTCTCGAGAGAGAGATGGCTGCAACCTCGAACCGGCTGAAAGGATTGATGTGACGATGCGCTGCTGCAACTGTCTGCATCCCCCTTGAATGTAGGCCCCGCCAGGTGCTCTGTGAGGGGACTCTCGAAGAATCCAACGCTCGCTGTGTCCCGTATCCTGCTGTCAGGCGGCGAGTGGATCCGATCGCCCTCGCCCTTCCGCGATTTCCCAATTATCCCATCGCGATTGATATGAGCTGCGTCCATCCTGGCAACAGAACCTTTTTCACACCGCAACTTGGGACTTCCTGCTCCATTGCAATGATTCATTCCTCAAGTTCAGGGTTTATCAGCTCCCGTTTGCTTTACCCTAACCCCAAGCAAACACACAAATAAGAATGTAAGTCACATCAAATGACACAATGTTACATATGTATTCAAATAGATATTGATTCATGGTCTCTTCAATCTCACACACCACAAGCACAAATCCCTTGTTGAAAATTTTGGACATCCAAATGGATCAAAAGTGGTGCACCAATTATTCAGAAAACCTTAATTATTATTATTTCTTCTTCTTCTTCTTCTTCTTCTTCTATTTTCAATTAATGTACATTCAGTTTTGTAATACATTTTCATAAGCAATGTTATTATTGAACTTTCAATGCATTTCTATTGTTTGAGACCATTTGCTTAATTGATATGTTTTTGGCTTGTTTTATACATACAGAAAGAGAGTACCAGCATGTAAGGATCATTGTGTGAGTTCTGCAGTACAGCAGTGGATACCATGAACACATACTTAATATTCTGTAGCCCTTGAGACTCCCTAAACCCAGAGGCACAACTTCCTGCATTAGAGACATTGCAGGACCAAGCATTCAGCCATGCCTTGGTACCACTGTGTGCAGCCCATCAATGGCTCTCTCTTGGCTCTGCCCTTTTTTTTAGTTAGCACACTCCATACAAACTCTAAACCTAAAACCCAGCTAGAATGGTTGGAAGAATAAAATGTTATTCTATTCTTTTTCTTAATAAATTATACTAAACAGACTGTCTGCATCTTCTACCTTTATTTACTTCTAAATTTTTTCCAGACAAACAAAATAAATGAAAATTGAAGACAAAAGTGTTTTTCAGTAAACTCATGCGGAGGCTTTGATCTTTTTGTGGATTGACAAGACATGATTTGCCTTGTGTTGTCAGGAGTACCTTTATACATATACAATATAGTACATGATGCCGTTAAAGAAACCATTTATATCATGTTGAAAATAATACAGCGTCCTTACCATGGCAGTGGCATTATGGACTTAAGATTTTTACCATTAAAATAATCACTTACAGTACTTTAGGTTCAAATAAAAAGGCAGGTTGATTAAGTGAGTTTTTATGATTTGAGTCAACACATCCACCTAGAATTTTTTTTAAATGAAGTAAAAAAGAAATACTTTTTAGAAAAAAAAAGTATATATATATATATATCTATATGTGTGTGTGTGTGTTATAAAGACAAGGAAGGAACAATGACACTCCAGAGGGTGTGGCCGCACAATGAGTAGAAACCCTGCAAGCAGTTGCAGCAAATACATTGTATCCTTAATTGAATATTTAATTGGAGTGGTGAGAGTAGGATAATTAACTTGCTCCGGCCCTTATTGTCAAACAAATTTGGTGTGACAGAAAAGACCTTTGTGGTAGGATGCTAAGTAATTTTAGGATTTTTTACCAGTGTGAATTTTGTTGTTCCCACAAGGATAGTAGTTTGGTTGTGCAGATCATATGACCAAGGATGGCATTATATGCACAGAGACTTTCTAGTTGCCATTGGCCTATGCTTTGGTAGTACTTATAATATCAGAGGAAGGAAGGTGTGTGGAACGAGCCTGCCTTCAAGAGGGTGGAACTGAAATTGGTAGCAATTGCTACTAATTTGGGTAAGTATGCACTGATCAACCCCACATGTGCTCTATCAAGTGATCAACTGCCTAATAGCTTATCTAGAAGTAGCACCAAGTTTTTGTTAAACACAAATGTAATCGAGATTAGATTAGATTTAAAAAAAGTGAAAGTCAAAATGGAATACTTGGAAAAATGTGTTGTCATTGCATATTTCATTGGAGGATGTCCTCTGACTAGGGTGATACAAGATTGGTTAGAACAATTACAAACCAAGATAAGGCTGTATATGCACCACACACTTGGTATGCAAGTGCAATGCAACCTAAAATTCAAAACAATTGGCAACTAGAGGAGCACATGCACAAATTAAATCACCATCTATCAATCAGAATGTAATTGAGAAAGGCAGGACCTCCAACAATAAGCATCAAAATGATCTAGTGACATCAACAACCTACCTACTGCTTAATGTAAATGTTGTATCAACACCCCTGGCAGAGACACCAATGTTGGGCTTTATTACCACCCAAGGCAATTCAACAAGGAGCAGCATACAAAACCAAGGTAAAAAAGAAAAAAAACACACACACAATAATAATAGTATTCAAAAGCAAAGCGACAAAGTAAATCTTCTTAACTTAAATTAAAGAAGCCTTGAATAGGCAATATGGCAGAATCATGAGCAACACCGAGGGTTGGAGTCACTACCAAATACAAGAGAATTCTTGCATATTCATGATTTTAATGAAGCACTTAACAAGCAGACTGCAAGGCAAGATGAAAATGCAAAAGTTACTTAACATAAACAAGTGCTCACCATCAAGATAATGAAGAATCTTGAATTAAATTGATTATTGAGCAAGTCAATTTTAAAAAAGAATCAATGCTTATCTATATGAAGACACCACCAATCCCTCTAACTTACTCAATAGCGAGAAGATAGACAACCACTCCTATGAGCATTGAAAGAAACCGATAAATGTCAAAAGGTCCTTCTTGGACATACTGAATTATTAGTATGAGAGTGCTAATCCAAAAGATGCATGGGCTTTATGATTCTAATAAATTTAAGGTTGTACAAAACTATCTATGACATTATTTGTCAAAAGCAAATACCATATGTGTGTAAGAGTATAAGTTCAGAGGAGCAAAATTTGTAGAGTTAGAAAACTTTATATAGTAGGTGCAGAGTTTTTAGGCCAACAACCATGCAATTCATAATATAGAGGTGGGCAGCAAAGACATAGGAATGTGGATCTCTTCTCGCTTTACACACTAGGTCGGCCACTCTCAATTGAGTAAGGCATAATGAACTTAACTGAAGGAGGTAGACAACTCTGTTATATTGATATTAAATATTTATGCCTTACATTTTGTATGAGAGAAGATGGAGTTGTGGTACAAACTACTTAACATCTTAGCAAAGAATCATAAATAGATTGTTTCATAGTATTATAATTTTGTCAAAAGGAGTTGCAATAAAACAAACTTTCAAAGCCATAAAATGTTAATAAGATATTAAAATTTTATCATAGCTCTATATATCCATCTTTAGCATAAATATAAAGTCTTGGCTCCCAAAAACTCCTTTATTTTGCATAAAATGCTCAAATTATATCAAAATCCCTTCAATTTATTTTTTTTCTACAAATGATTTTTTGTTTTTCAAACTTTACAATTTCATATCTCTTGATTCAACTAGTCGATTTTTTCTCAAATTTCTAGATAATTGAGAATTTATTCTTAATATTTACTAAAAAAAGAATGAACTATAAATTTACTATAAATTATCTCGTATCTTAGAAACCCTAGCAAGTACTCTAAATTCCAATTTATAAGTACCTAAGTACTACTTTCTTCATATTTCAAAAATTAAAAATTCAAACAGTATAAAAATTTGTATATAACTTAATAATACAATAATATACATTTTTGAAACTTTTGAGCCAAAATCTTATCAAATTGCTTGAGATATAGCTCAAAATATAACCACTAATAAATTAGATCATTTACAGCCCTTAGATTCCATGTATTGACTTCAACTTCTAATATCTCCTTCATTTTAATCTAGAATTTATCAAAACAATATATGTAAAATATAGCTAAGTGTTTTATTTAATCTCAATTGTCAATCCTTCATTGCTTTGTGTATATGTGCGTTATATTCCAAAGAGTGACAATAGGTACAAAATCAATACCTTGACTTTGAGCACCTATATCTCCTTTACAAAAACTCCAAATCACAGAAAATTTGCACCAAAAATAATTATATAGCTTATCATACTAAGCTTAGCTCAACTCAAGTACAACCAAGGATGCAATACAATAAGTCATATGAAGATTAAATAATTGGCTTATCCTAGAAGAGAAGGATAATTTGAGCCGACCTCTATCATTCAAAGAAATTACAGTAGCCTTGAATGAAATGAAAGAGGAGGGGGAAATAAATCCTTTGGACTCAATGGAATGATTTTTTGAATTTTATATAATATTTTGAAATATTATAGGTCCATAATTTCTAATTATATTATGAGAAAGTATTTACAAAAAAAGGCTTCTTCTTGGAGTAACATAAGATCTTATTGCTTTATTGTATAAAAGAAGAATAAAGCAAGACCTCACAAATTAATGGCCAATCATCTTCTTTAATATTAGTTACAAAATTTATACAAAATTTATGTAATTAAGGCTTCAATTAATTTTAATGAATATTATTAGTATGAAACAATTGACTTTTTCATCTAATTATTTTATCATAGATAATCTATTATTAATACATGAAACTATGGCATGAGTAGAGAAGTCAAAGTAATCACTTTTCTTTTTAAAACTTGACTTTTTTAAAGCATATGACATGGTTGATTGGAATTTTTTTTTTTTTTTTTTTTATGCAATGGAATCAGATGGATTATCAAGGAAGTTTAATCAAATGATTAAGCTACTATTCATCAATACAAAGGCATGCATGAAGATAAATGGTATACTTTTTGAGCCTTTCAAGGTTGAAAAAAGAATAAGATAAGGTTATTTACTTGTTCCATAATTATTCTTTATATTAGCAAAATTTTTAAATACAATAGTCATGAATGATAGAGGAGTAGGATTAATAAAAGGTATACAACTACC